GGCAGTGGAACGGTAGGTAAAAATCGGCATTTAACGTATGCGTTTAATCATATTGGGCGAATTCTTACAATGTCAGATGAGGTCGAGGCACACCGCGTCGTTCCTATCAGCACACAACCACGATCGACGGCACCCAGTAGTCTGCGCGTGCTGCCGTACCTCCGCCACCGCGCGCCATGGTTCGGAGATGCGCGACGGAAGCGATGTATACGGAGGGATTGGAGCCATGTACGTTGCTGCGGTCGGTTCGAAAAACGATCAGGTCGTGTGACACGACCGACCCCCGTCACGACGAGGCAAGTGGGTGTGTTACCTTGCACGCCAGGAAATAAAGAAACGCTCGTGTCTGGCTCGCATTCGCCGGTGGCGCCGTGTCTGCGATGGAGAACGCGAACGAGACTCGGGAAGGGCGCGACTGGCCGCAGAGCACACCCAGTGTTCCAGCGATTCCCGCCGCAACGACGTCATGTTCTGTCAAGTAAGGTGGAATTTGCGACTGGCGCAGACTTTATACTTGGCGTTTGTATACTGCGTGGTGATACAGCTCATTTATTATGTATCTAGTAGTACTTCACCGCGCGTTTTCGGCATTTTCGATTTCGGCCGGCGGTAGAGTATGATGTGGAACTACGGCATGGTGGTGCCGGAAGTGACGGCGCTGCATCGTGCGGTGCGAGGGACGAACAACCAGTTGAACTGCACCACGTCCACTATATGCCCAAGCGATGTCCCCACTACCGTTGGATGTGCACACGTCGACACGTCGACCCAGTCGAATCAACCCATCACATACAGGTCCCTTGTCCTTGTCGACATGCACAACCAACGCAACCATAAATTTAAAGTCAAGCGCCAGTACCTCGAGATCCGCGGACACGTCCTCTTCCTCGGCAAGCACCCCGCAGCGATGACACACCTTCTTCACATCGACGACGTCACTGCCGTTGAACCGTCATGTCTCGAACCCCACAGCCTGCTCATCGTGAGCGCAAGCATCTATATATTCCTTGCTCTCGCAGACGAGCGGGAGTTCTTCAGGTGGAGAGCGCTGCTGCGGCATGCCCGGCCCCTCGGATATGAAGGCACGTTGCAGATCAAGGTACGATGTTGCAGCTTCAATCGTCGGTCATGCCAGCGCTGATAGAGTCACAAAGACGCCCCGACTCTGGAGACGACGCTGCGAACAGATTGGAGTGTAGCCGAGTGCATGAGACATATGGGACTGGAAGACGACAAGTATTGCATCAACGTGAATGGCACGAGCCAGTACTGGACCGACCCGTCTGCATCTTTGGAAGACTTTGCTACGCCAGGAACGCCATTGCTGCTCACGGCAGTGCCATATCCCGACCCTCACATGTTGACTTCCCAACTGTGACGTCTGGTTGACCTCCAATGTGGTCACGGTTCTCAGGCAATGAATGGCGTGCTTGATCAGTTCTAAAATTAGGCGACATACCGCTTACTAGAGGTATACTCGGGCGAATAAACACACTAAACATGTTCTTGCTGCATCGTCTGGCGCGAAATTCTCGCTACGTAACAGTTGGGACAACTGGAGTCATTTCTCGGCATCTACCTCATCAGGTGGAGACACGGGTCTTGGACGCGGTCACAAACATCCAGAACTTTCGTGTCCCACCCAAATCAGAAGTTTGTACGGACCCCCAAGTTGGCGGACGGCTAGAAAAGACAAGCCGATTCATGGCGACTCAGTTTTGAAATTGCGGGCTGGACACGATGAAGTTGTTTGCCGCCGTCGTCGTTGCATCCGTTGCCACAACCAAGCAGTCGGTGACCACGCTCTCGTCCGATGAACGCAGGACGCTGCGCGCGGAGTTGGCCAAGTGGCGCAAGGAGTTTGGAGCCAAGGCCGCCGCCCGAGGTCTGATGCCCCGCGTTGCCAAAAGCATGAGCCCGTTGGAGGCGGAAACGGACGCGCTCCAGCGCTTCTACAACAACAAGCTCGCGATCGAGGAAGCCCGGCGCAACAACCCCCGAGCCACGTTCGACCATGACCACCCGTTCGCTCTCTTGACCAAAGACGAGTTCAAGCAGCTCGTGGTGGGTCGATCGTTCGAGCAAGGCCTGAGCGCCGCTCAATCGGCCCCTTCGGTCAAGGTCGTCCGCCCCCGCGTCGAAGAGTCGATGGACTGGACCACCACCGAGTGCGTGAACCCCATTCGTTACCAAGGCTATTGCGGATCGTGCTGGGCCTTCTCGGCGGTGGGGACAGCGGAGTCGGCTCACTGCATCATGACGGGAGAACTGCTCGACTTGTCCGAGCAACAAGTGGTGAGTTGCTCGACCAATGGCTACAGCATGGGATGCTCTGGTGGCTTTGAAGATGCTGCGCTCGACTACATCACGTCGGAAGGGCTGTGCTTGGAGCATGAATATCCTTACACGTCCGGCGAAGCGAATGACACCGGCGAGTGCTACGACTCGTGCACCAAGGTCAAGCTCGAAGTGGAGCCGACCGTCCGCGTGAATGGCGAAGAAGACACGATCATGGCATTGAGCTACCAACCAGTGGCGGTGGCTGTCGAAGCAGGCAACTACGAGTGGATGAACTACCGCAAAGGCATCATCGA